CACCATTACATCATTTAATATTTAAATATTACAATAATAAACATATTTCAAAATTACTTACTACCAAAAATATCGCTTATAAAAGTGAATCGTTTAAAATGCTCGATGGTGCTATAGGTATCTAGTTATAGTATGGTGTAGTATAGCCCTATCGGTGTATCAACGCGATCGCGCGGTGTCGGTGAGAAAAAGTAATACGTCCTGTCGTTGGGATTACCCGGAGCGTACTGCTGTACGATATATTACTTTCCTCTATGGTACTGCTTTCAGTTTATACAAAGGTACTCTGTGGCGTACTGAATCGAACTGCGTTTGCGCATGATGTTTTATAGTATTTTTAAAATAATTATATAAAATAATTGACAAAATAAAACGAGCTAAAAATTTTTTTTGGATATTTAACATTACATGTATTTTGATAAAATAATTAAAATAGATATGTGATATGCAAATACATGGAAAAAATTACATTGAAGTAGACAGTTTTGGTGATTTTATAATATTAAATCGAAATATTTTCGTAATTTAGGTTTTGCTATACACTAAAAGACTATATATTCCATTATAATAACGCTTAAAATAAAGTATTTTAGCTTATAATAATGGTTGTATTCAACCTGAAAGATAACTCTGATGCATATTTTCGTAAAACACAGTGAAGGGATTGTCTTCGCCCTAAAAAACCGTCATTAAAAACTCATTCAAAAAAAATTCAAAGTCATTTTGCACTGCTATGTACTAAATAAATACTTCATTATTCTAAAGCCCTAATTTTCAGCAAATAATCTCCTCACGTCGTTACGATATCGCCTTTGGAAAAACCATAAAACATGTAGTTTTCGACGCGAAACGCATATGCCCTCTTAACTAACATTAATTTGCCTTCGTAGGCACTCCCTCAGCGGCTCTTAGCCGCCTGCGCCCTCTTTTCCCAAAAGAGGGTCGCTCATGATAAGGCACAATAGAGCTTAATCACTAACTTTTTAGGAACAAAATGGTGGCATGAGGCGACGTACGGGAGGCGGTGGTCTATGCTATGAGATTGACCTTATGTAAACACAATCGACCTTTTATTAAATCAAATATCGCAATCGATAATTTTTTTTAGAAGTTAATGATTTTTATATATATAAGATATTAAATAAAATGGATTTACAAATATAGTGAATTTTGTCATTAACAATCGAGATTAAAAAAAAACTAATCAAATTTTATTTTCTCAGTTGAAAGACATGATTTACTTAAATGTCAGTTATCTATTTACGTCTACTTGAGTAACAACTGTTTGAAAAAATTTAAAACCTTACAAATTTGAAAATAAATATATTTGTGACTTAATTTCAATCGATTTGAATAAACGACTAAGCAACACCCTCGGGCACGCGTATTGGACATCCCGTTTTTGTTATTTCGTAAAGCTTTGTACTTATTCGGCAATTCTCGGTACACGGTAATATGTCTCAGTCGCACGTTAGCATTGGTGTCGAGTTCGTGTCACTATATCTGTCTTGACCACAGTCGGTTACCAAAGTTTTCGTTATTGTTGTTAATTGTTATTATTATTGTTAAGTTTTTTGTTTAGTGTTAAGTATGTTTTATTTGTGTTATTTGTAAGTGTCAGTTGGCACTTATATTATTCGCCAAATATGCCACCAAAACATAATAGTGTGTTAAATCCCCAAGCGAGAAAATTATTTACGATTTAACGCAGTATATGAATAAAATAAAGAAGAAGACGTAAAAGATGTAGATAGAGTTTATTTAAGAGTTGCTAACGCAACTGGTGTTTCCCAACGCACAGTATGCAGATTTCAACGGAAGGCAGTATTTCAGGCTTACTTTCGATATTCCGCATGCTTGGTAAAAAAAGGTATAGATCAAAACCTATTACTGATATAGATAATTTTGACCAAGGAGTTATAAAAAGATGCAGATACAACTTCCACAAAACTGGAAAAGAAATGCCGACCATAAACAAATTACTAGCGAAACTCAAAGAGGATATAAATTTTCTTGGCGCTAAAACGAGCTTAAAGACAACTGTCCAAAACTTGGGTTTCAAGTGGTGAAAGACCGAAACCAATAGAATGGCTCTTATAGAGAAGACCGACATTCGCCTGAAAAGGATCTTGTACTTGAAGGCAATGAAAAAATACAGGGATGAAGGGTGACCAATTGTGTTCACTGACGAGTCGTATACCCACTCATCACATATAAAAGGTAAGGCGTGGTCAGATGATTCCGCTCAAGGACTAGCGTCCGATATCAAAAGGTCAGCGAATATTGATTGTACACGCTGGGTCAGAAGCAGGGTTTGTTCTGAACGCCCTACTAATGTTCAAATGTGGAATCAAAACCGGAGACTATCATGATGACATGAATTTCACAAATTATGAGAAATGGTTACGGACTCAACTGATTTTAAATTTGAGCCCTAACTCGGTGGTGGTTATCAATAATGCTCCGTACCACAACAAACTTATAAATCCTGCACATCTAATGACAAGAAGGCAAAAATGAAATCGTGTTTAGTAGAAAAAGGTATACCCTAGGAAAAGGACATGCATTAACTACAACTTTACGATCTAATAAAAATAAACGAAGATGTGCATAAAAGATACGCAATAGACGAAATGTTTACAAAAAACAATCACGAAGTCCTTCATTTACCCCCATATCATCCCGATTGAAACCCCATCGAGATGGCGTGGGCTACCATTAAAGAGCAAGTAGCCGCTAAAAACGTCGACTGGAACGTAACCCAGACAATAGAGCTCATACAGTAAAAAGTAAATTTAATGGGTCAGGCAGAATGGAGTGCTATGTGCAGAAAAGTGCAGGAGGTCGAAGATGAATATAGGAAGAGCGACCATATTATTGATGAAATGACGGAACAGTTATTCATCATTAATACAGCTTAAGATTCGGAAAGTGAGTTAGAAAGTGAGAGCGACGATTACGATGATGAACCTATGTCAAGTGCTTCACATGGTACGCAAGGAGCCGATGACTTTATGTTAGAGATCCCCCCTCAGCGACTGTGATGAAATAGTAATAAGTGTAAAAATAATAAAGATCCGTGGTAGTTTAGATGGTTAACGCTCGGTGTAAATATAACAGAACGCGAGTAACCCGGGTTCGATCCCCACCGGCACCAATGAAATTGTTAATTGCAATTTTAAGTGCTGATTTACTACGTGCTTGGCGGTGAAGGAAAACATCGTGAGGAAACCTGCATGTCTGAGGAATAAGAAAAAAAATATTTTGAAGACATGTGAAGTTCGCCAACACGCACTGGGGCAGCGCGGTGGACACTTCCTTGTCCTAAAACCCTCTCAGAAATGAGGGGAGGCCTGTGCCCAGCAGTGGGACGTATATAGGCTGTAACTTTAAGTGTAAATATATAAAAAGTATTCAATGTAAATAATAATGTGTTTGTGATAAAAATATGTCCCTTTCAAAAGGTAAGGTATCGAAATTTAATCTTTATTTTATATGTTATTGTTGTAACTTTCTGTCTCCAAAGTGTTTTTGATATTTATTTTACTTGTACTAATTGGTCACACTATTAGGTAAATTTTATTCGTACATTGCTATTTAAAAAAATTACAATAACAGTTTTCTTTACGAGTGTTCATGCGCTAAAGTTCGCAGAGCCTATGTTGACTCGCCAAGATACGTTGGCCGTATTATACTATATACCAGTAATCTATGGTAATTACAAAAACTAAAAGTTGACTACATGGAGGTTAGAGAACAGGAGAACGAGCGCTACGTGCTAAAGCATAGCCCACCTGTCACTGAAAATATGTAGAATTTATAGCCGCGCTGCTCTGTAAGTAGTGTCTGCGAAGTAAATTTTTAATTTTTGACAGAAAGTGACATTGTAAAATGGTGAAATATCATAAATAATAATAATAAATCAATGAAAAATAATAATTTATATTTGTAATAATTTATAATATTTATAATAATTAAAATTATTGAGACAGCTTAGCTATCGCTGCGCCTCACTTATTTTGTTCATATTTCTGGGACACTATTTATTACAGCGATCGTTCTCCTGTTCTCTAGCCTTCATGGTTGACTACGTAGACAGAGAAACCTATATGCAAATTGACGCCTTCTTTCGCATTCGCACACGAAAAAGATAGATTTATGCATACGTCTTGCATCTATGCATTTCTAAATGAGACAGAGCGGTGTGATTGTTTGTCCCTTTCTCCGTGCCGGTTTTTTTTGTTTAGCAAACTACACTTTGCGAAACAACTTTGACAGTTCGTAGCACTCTAAGGAGTTTACAAGTTGGTTTAAGTGAGAAAAAAGTGTTTTGTGAGCTTTAGATTGGTGAATCTTGTTCAGTTCAGTTCTTACAATAATTAAAAAATTTATCTAAATATGTTTAAAAGTCATAAAGATTATTGTATAACCTAAAACTACGTTATCATCCTTTCTCACTCTAGGCCACGCTAATCATTCGTCTATAGGTTTCTCTGTCTACGGTTGACTATATATATAATATGACTTGTACTAGCCTCGTAGACGGAGAAACTGTCATAGACGACTAGCTTATACTAGCTACTACCATAGAGTCATAGAGTAGAGTGATGAGCTTGACAGTAATTTTTGGATTTACCTTTTAGGCCACGCTTATTGTTATGGTTTTTGTGGTTGATATTTATATATGACTTGTACTAGCCTCGTAGACAGAGAAACTGTCATAGACGACTAGCTTATACTAGCTACTACCATAGAGTCATAGAGTAGAGCTGACCTGAGCTACTACCTAGATTCAGTAATCTATGACTAGCTTGCTACATATTTATTTATCTATGATCTATGACCTAGGTCTTTGTGTTTGTTTGTCGTTTAGTCGTGCATTGCAGTTTTAAAAAAAATACTAATTATTAGAAATATTACCAAATTTAAAGAAACTGGAATGTAAATTAAATTATTATATGTTTTATCTGTAACTAAAAATGGTGTATACTAAACCTTAGTTGATAACAAAAAAGTAAGTTGTTTTATACTTATACCTAACAATACATCGAAATCATATTAAATAAATTTAACAAAATAAAAACAAACAATGAGGTACTGTGATTTTTATTAAAACCAACAGTGTGAAGGGAGAAAACATGCTAATTATTAATTAGGTATGCGTGGAGAAAGCTTATGCTGTGATTGCCTCTGTGGAGGTGATGCAAAAAACCTACATAAAATTTTATATCTACACATACATGCATAATTTCAACAATTTGCGTTGTTCTAAACTGGAAAAAATCTTTTGCCCTATCACTACAAGCCTAAATATATAAAACATGATTCTTAGTTACACCTAAAAAACAAACAATGATGTCTCTTTAGCAAAACATTATGCTCCACCTTGCTTTATGTGCCACTGAAACTTAAAATGATTATATTTAGACAACAGCAGACTTGGCGAACAAATGAATTTGCTTTACATAATGTTGACAGAGAAAGTTAATGAAAATGTCGGTTAGATTATCTCCATAGATTATGTGCAATTATCACATATGTTCTTGAGAATGTTTTTGTAAAAAAAACTTCAACAAAACAAACTTGTTGAAATTTAGTACAGTTGAATCTCAATAACTCGAATTTTAAGAGAAATGCTAAAAATTTAGAGTAATTGAGTTTACATGGAATTTGAGATTTTTCCCCCAGCATGAGTAACATACAGTACATAGGTACGTTACTTAGAAGGATTAATTAATGTATTTATTCATTCCATGTGTAATACACACAATAAAACAAACAGAAGCAACACATTCCTGTTGGATTTTATTGCTATGAGTTTGGGGAATACAAAGTAAGATGTCTTTATATTTTACTTAATTCAACTTATGAAGTCTGCTTTTTGAAATTTAATATATGGAGTATAAATATATACTATCAATATCTCACAGGAAAATAAATTTTATTCAAGTTAGAAAGTAAATAATTTAATATACTTGTGGCCGTGGAAGGAAAAGGGGAGATCTCCCGCCGGGCAAGGTATTCTGCCCGGGGAGCCGCCGACACTCCGTGTGATAGTTCGGAGATGTTTTATATATACTGTTTATTATTCGGAATTCTGATAGCGTGATTTAGGCTTCGGTGTGTTTCGCTTGCGGCGCGACGACAGCGCCGCTACATCACCCCCCTGCTCAGACCGAAGGTCGATAATGCAGCCTCGTTGCCGACGAATGTGCAATTGCCAGGAGATTGCCTTGTAGTCTGCGGTGAGTCGAGAAGAAGGCAAGTAATCTGCGAGAGTGCCGTGAGGCAGAGGCGAGCAGTAAGGCTCAGAGCCGTGCCTAACACTGTATAGCTCAGAGAGTAGCTTTAAGGAACAGGAAGCATTATTATTCCAGTGCTGCGATGAACCTTGTGAAGCTAGATGGCTTGCAGGATATGAAGACTGCAGATGATATCTGCTCGGGAGTGAATGGGTGGGGTATTTTTGACGATGATGAAAGCTTGAAGTTTCCGAAGGTTGTTGGTTGCGTGTTCAGATCACGTCGGGGTCACCACTGTGGCCGGTGAGGAAAATGGGAGATCTCCCGCCGGGCAAGGTGTTGTGCCCAGGGAGCGGCCGACACTCCGTGTGATAGTTCGGAGATGTTCTAAATATACTGTTTATTATTCGGAATTCTGATTATCGTGATTTAGGATTCGGTGTGGTTCGCTTGCGGCGCGACGACAGCGCCGCTACATACTGCATATTTAAAGGTTCAGCAGAAGAGAATGGCAATTTTTTTCATTTTATAGAAGATTACAAATTAATGAGGTCCACTGTATATCAAAGTGATCCCAATTGACCTTTTCATTAGCTAAATTGACTTAGTATTCATAACAAAAATCCTTCAATTCCGTGCAGAACTTTTTTGTGAACTCTTTATAAGAATATGCAACATTGAACCTGCTTTCTCTTGAAAATGTAAGGATTATTGTTATTTTATGTTACAGATCTACAATCATGGGAGGTTGTCGGTGTACATATCGCAATTGCATAGTAAAAACAGATGGAAAGACCCATATGTTTCATTATCCTGTCTTTGATAAAGTAAGGTGTCATCAGTGGTTAATAAATGCACGCCGACTAGATTTTCTTAATTTAAAAGTTTCTCAACTTAAGAATCGAGTTGTATGTCAATACCATTTTAAAGATGAATATTTTATGAACTTTAAGGTATGTGAATGTGTCAGAAACTATTTATCTAAGTAGAATAATTTGGGTTGCTATAGATATCCAGTTTTTTTTTACAGAATAATAATAACAAACGAGCACACAGTCCATCTGATGGTAAGTGGATGCTGTGGCCCAATGACATCTACATTTATCTTCTATTTAGAATCAAAATGCAGATGCGTTACCAGCCCTGAGGACTGAGATGGAATACCTTGTTTCCAGTAAAAAGGATCTCCGGTTCTCTACGCTCACCATACAAAACGTCGGAAATGCATTTTGAATTAATTATGATAAAAACAAATTTCACTAAAAATTGCTTATAATGAAACGCAAATATGTCAATTTGTTCTCGTATTATGAAGTAGTCAAGCAGTACTTGATTTTTAATTTTGTTTTCCATTAGGAGGTTTGTCTGGGTTAAGCTTGAACCTTTTACACTGTTTTTGTATTTCGGAAATACCTTTTGAACTAATTGCGATAAAAATAAATTTCACCAAAAATTGCACATTACGAAATGCAAATACATATGTCAGTTTGTTTTTTCAACACAGATACACTCATAAAAAAGTTAATCACTCGGACCCAGACAATCCATTTGTGGTTGAAGATTGAACTTATACATATACAACAAATTGAGTTACAGTGGGGAGCAGTCCAAAGGTTTTTCAGAAAAAAAATTATAACAATTCACATTACATTATTTCAGTTACCACTATCATAGCAGAGTTTAGAGCAACCTGACTTTATAGATAAGATTGGTCGAATCTGTTCTAAAACCGAAACAGTACGCCCCAACTCCATGTAGTCTTGTCTGCCCTACTCCTAGAGTGTTTTTGTCAAGCTGTAGGTGCGGAGGGAGAGCAACCCACGCTCACCTCTGCAGCTTTAGCTTATTGGTCGCCTTCAGCGACCAGCCTCTACCGCTACGGCTCGCACGGGTGCCTGCAATTTGCTAGGAAGCTGTTGCAGAAGTACCTTTGGGTCACTATTCCTGTGTAAAAAGTGAGGTTATGATTTTACAAAAAAAATTCATTACATATAAACTATACATTTCCACAAGCGGGGAAGGGTAGAAGAGCATCCCCTGAACCCTCCCCCCTTCACCCACCTTCCACCCCGCGTACGCGAGTACCGGATGTCTATAGTTTAACCAATAATTTTACTGTAATAAGGTTAAAATCCTCCATCCTTCCTATATCAGAGGCCTATATTCAGCAGTAGATTGGCTTAAGAATGAGGAAAGAGATAAGATGTCAACATGATTATGTCAAAATGGTAATGCTAGATGTAAAATATTAATTTTCGTACTAGTCATCATCATCATAATCTTTGGTCCAGGAATTAAATCCCAGGTAAGGCCCAAATTGGTTCTTGGGTTATTGTCAGAATATTCTCAGTAGCATCTGGTAGTCCGGAAGTAGACAGTGTTTCAACCTTGTGCCTGGGAAAACATATAAAGCTGTTGGACTGCACACACTCATGCTCTTTAATTCTGTTCTGTACAAATAGCTATACTCCATTGAAACTCGCCATCAATCATGATTCACTTTGGTCTGGACCACATTATTACTTTAATATTATTAATTATCATTATTATCATCATCGACAGCTTTTAAAAGTCCACTGCTGGATATGGCCTGCCCCGTTGTTGGAAGGATTTGCCTTCATTGTCATGCTTGGCAAGCAGCTTTGAAATTTTTGAGATCTTTTTTTTATCCCATTAAAATTCTTATTAGAGCTAACAATCAAAAGTCCACTGCTGTTTGCCATGGTCTCACTTGGTAGGCAGTTTGGCAAACTCAATTTTATTTGTTTGTGTTGTGTTTAGGGCCCATCTCCTGTTTTATTTTCACATACCCACAGAATAATATGGAGTAGTGGATTCTCTTATGCCACTTCTACACAGCTCATACTGTTAGTTATTTACTAGGAAGGTAGGTAGGTAAGTAGGTGATGTCTTCTGTGTATTTTGATATGGCTTTAAAAATACAGTGTGGTTTTCAACATAACTTACATCTCTTTATAAAGTATTGGACAATTTTTTTAAAAACAAGCGATTATCCATTTTTTTTGGTATCTCTGATAAACAGATTATCCAGCTTTGCCAGATTATATACTCTACTAACTCATTACCAGCGCACAAGCTCAATATAAGCCGCTTGAAGTAGAAATCTAAAATATGGATATTAGCTACCTTTTTTGACATAGAATTCTGCTATGAAATAATTTTGGAAAATTCGATCCCTAAGAGGGTGAAATTGAGTTTTTACAGATTATTATTTTTTTAAAATATTTAACAGCCGATTGATTCAATACTTACTGAGAGTACTGTATTTAAACAATAAATCACAGTAAATGAATACATATTTTGCCATTTCGAAATAAACCCGTTACGGTAGAGGGGATGGCCAGAGAGTGTTAAATTTTGTATAGAGGTACTATATTATATAACCCGGGGAGAGAGAAGGGAGTAGATAATATCCAACTTGTAGGAAAAATATTTAATGCTTTAAAGTAATTAAAATACAGTTAGTTCATTCTGCGTAGATCGGACCAAAAACAATAATTAAAAAGCTGAAGGTACTCCGGGTTAACTTTGACATCGGGACGTTAGTCACCTCAGTCCCCTGTGACCATGGGTGCTGGAAAGCACCCGAAACGTCGGCTATTAAAATTAATATAAATAACACGCGATAAAATCCGTAAAAGTAGTTTTAATCAATTTAATAATTTTTCAAATGATTTTTGTAACCTTAAAATTAGTACTTAGTGTAATAATAGTTTAAAGTGTTAAACCAAGATAGTCTCTTAGTCGCTTTAAGGACGTCAAATTGGCTCCTGAATCTACCAATAATGTAGTAGAGGTCCTCCTTAAGCTGTGCCCAGTATATTATTCAGCATCCAGCAGACCAAGAAACTATTTCTTTGAGCATATTACCAAATTTGTTTATCCCGATTGCTTAAGCTGAACACTTTCCTTTTTGATAATTTTGGAAAAAACGGTCGGTTTTTGCTGTTACCGCGGACCGCTGATTTTTTATATTTTTGCACTATTCTAAGAAAATCTACAAAAACAAAGCTTCTCGGTATCTTATTTTTTGTATTTGGAATCTTGATTAGTAGCATTTTTCCACGGGCTTCAATATCTTTTAAAGTAATATTGGCTAACTGCTCTCTGATGCAAGCTCTAACAACGCCAAAAATCAGCGCAACCTACAAAAAAGGGATTTGATTAATATTTTTTTAAATAATATATTGACTGTATTTTGCGATTTCGTAAACTGAATACTAAAGAAAAATATAAGTCTGTATTTATTAATAAATTACCTTTGTGGCTAAATAACGATCATCGGGAGTTTCGTTCAAAAACCTTTCCACTTCATTCGATGTTAATATTTTTGACTTTTTAGTTGTAAAAAAGTCTGATTGTCGTTTTGAGAAAAGATTTAGTTTTGGGTATTAACTTATATCAACGTTGTTCCTTATTTTCAGAATACTTTTTTTCATCGAAAACCTCGACCATAACATAAAAGGTTTTAATTTTGCTGAGAGTTCGGAGAAATATGCCAACATAACATTTTCTGAAGAACTATTTGCTTTTTTCTCTTCTCTCCAAGCAATAAATTCGTCGTATGTAGATTATGTAGCGATTTTTTGAAGTTTTCGATAAAATGTTCTCCGAAGCATTTTGTGCAATTATACTGAGTTCCGGTGGTGTTAATTCAAATAAAATATCGTCGAAATTACTCATTTTTGCAAGAAACAACTAAACTCGCAAATGTGGAATGTAGAAGTAAGGAGTACCAACTCCCATAGTAGAATAGTTGAAAAAGTGGCCATCTATAAGCAGTAAATAACAGTTCAAAAACTCTCCACAACAGCGCTGTAGTAGCTACTGGGATGAAATGAACTTAGCAGTTGTCGACCGTTTGAAGTGTGCTGCTAAACTGCTCAGTAGCTTTAAAATCTAAATAAATTTTATTTAGCAAATATAACCTCGAAAAAGTCGTCTATCCCACTAATATTTTTCGGTACGTTCTTTAAAATTTTGCCCGTAGCTATAGTGGCGCCACCCTTATTTAACGGTTTTCTATGGACACTTTTTAATACACAGTCTGTACCCCTTACTTCTACACTCCATACTCGCAAAGAACATTTTTGGAAAATGGCGCCAACCGTAAAAGAATATAAGCAGAGATTTTTTTGTTTTCTTCACCCATTCTGGATAGGCAAAGGGAACTATGCCCATACAGCCAAGTCTTCAGTAGATTTTTTTTATTGATATGAAATGAAAATGAAATTTAATGAGATGAAATGAAATGAAACCTAACCTATTTCATTGAATCAAATCATTAAATCTGATATTGAAACAAATTAGTAGCTTCTTTTTAGAAATATTTGCATGAATCATTAAAACTTCTATGAATTTTTTTTAGTAAAGACTTCGTGGTTGGTTTTTTTCTTTTTAATATACATTATTTTGACAGTTGGGAATGAGAATGCACGAGTTCGGAAAAGGTAAAGAAAAAGCTCGAGTATGTAATAGCCCACATCCCGAACGCTATACGTTCCTGTAATACGCCACTTTTTGAGCAACTGTATATCCAATCCAATAAAATAATATTTATTGGAAGTTATTTGCAGCTTTGCCACTGATTATAAAAAAGTATTTGTCCTGAAGAGAACCAGCAAACAACAACTTTTGAATATTTTTTAAATAGAAACCAGCTCGTTTGCCACTCTAAAATATTTAAAAAAAAACAATATTTAACTTTAAGTCTTGAATTTATAACTTATTATAACAGCAAGTAACTGATAATAAATATCATATAGTATCTTAAATATTATAATATATCTGATTTAGTTTATTACAAATCAAGCATAATTTTTGTATTTTCAGAAAGAAAAACTTACATTTGAAGCTATACCTACAGAGGATGGCCCTTATTGTGATCCAAATAAATCAGTTGATAACTCTCAAGATTATTCTAAACTTAATCCCATTGTTCTTGAAGATATTGAAAATCAATATTACTCAACAAATGAAAAGAAAGCAAATTTTTCTTTGAGGTATTTAGACTTTTTAACTAATTCAGAATGTGAGGAATCTTCATACTTAAAATATAATAATGAACCACTGGCAGTAACAAAAGTCAATGATTTATCTGAGCTAAATTTTGTTCTACGTAACAACATGCATGAGAAACCTCATATTATTAATCATAATATTGATATTGATGAATCTGATTTACTAAACCATAAGTTAACATCTATTAAAAATAATATAAATAAGCCTCAAACCCAGCCCATGCTTATTGTACCACCTTATTCAGAAAAAAGTAACATGGTAGAAGTTGAAATAAAACCCGAATATATTACGTTCAATCCAACTTTATGTAGAAATAAGAAATCTATAGTAGAACTAGAAATTCCTAAGGACAAGCCAAAAGTTCAAATAATATCTGAGAAAAAATTAACCTACCCAGTTCCAGTTACAGGCAATTTTAAAATGATATCACCATCTGTTGTATTAAATGCCACACATTTGAAACAAAACAATGTAAAAACTATTGAAATTGTTTCGGAAAACACACCATCTATGGATAAACAAATAAATAATACACAACAAGAAACCGAGCCTGTTATACTACAACCTCAACCGAATGTTACCCCACAAAAATCTGAAATAATACCTAAAATAAGTACACTTCATGCAAAACCCATCAATACTTCGAAAGAAAGTAGCAATGATAGGGCCAAAATCTCATTATTAAAGAACAAAATTACTCCAGAAAGGATAGCTGCTATTAAAGAAAAAAGAGAGTTTAATAAGAAATTAAAAGATGTCATAGAATCTTGTGTTATAAAACAAGAAGGAACAGAAAATGCTAGTGATAAGAAATTGTCAGACCAAAGTTGTAAGAAAAAAGTACAAACTTCTCCTGAAAGGGTAATATTACAAAAGGATGAAGGCTACCTATCTAGTCTTGAAGCTAGAATGATCAGAATGGAAAACTTGTTATTAAATAAAATAGATCAAAATTCTCAAAGAATTATGGAATTAAAAAAGACACTACCAACCTCAACTAAACCATCACAAAAGAAAAAATCTGTATCAACACAAACATACATAAATGAAGAGGTTTATAAAAAGTTTCTATATAGTGAGATATCAAAATATTTAAGTGCAGAATCAAATAATATAATTTATGAAGAACTGTTTATAAATTTTGCACAAAATTCGAGTTCACATCATACTTCTAAGAAACGAAGACGGTATAGGTGACTAGGTAAATAATAAAGTATTTATTAGCAATAAATTACAATTTTTGTGTTTTCTTATACATTCTGTAAGTCATTTATTTTTTATAATATATTCTTTACAACAAAACTATGAGAAAGGTTCTAAAATTCTGTTCACTGAAAGTTGTAAATGTTACACCTACTGTAGGATTGTGTCATCTACTGCTGTGTTATGGAGGTATTTTACAATCAGAAAAACCTACATGTGCTAAAATTGACCTGCAGCAAAACATAGCTATTGTGAAATATAGGCCAAAATTTAAAAAAAATTATCTTAATTTACAATGTCCACTGAAGTCTGTACATTTGTTAGATAAACTATAATTATAATTTAACACAACAAACCGTCTATAATTTCAAAATTACCGTAAAATGATATTATAAACTAGAAGACAAAACATAGTAAGAAACAATATAATACTTAATAATAAATTTTACCGGTAAAATTTGTCTTGTAATGGGTATATACTTCTTATATTTGTAATATTATTTAGATTTAAACAGGTACCTAATTTGCTAATTTATAAGCTTCGTTTAATTCTTGAACAACAGACTGACCTTTTCGTCTTACCACAGATTAATAATAGTTCAAGAACAGAAGGATCACTCTCTGATAGCAAAGAGTTTAAAAACAAATTGAATCCTTTGATATTAGTTGGTAGTAGAATATACCGAGGTGATATGCAATGTATGTAATTTACTAGTAATTTGCTGATAATAAAAACATTAGTGTTCAATGTGAGAAAGGTTAATATGCAACATCTAGAAATAATAAGATTAAACAACGTGAACGTCTTTGAAACTTAGATAATTTACCTACCTACCAATTTTCGTTTCACTTTTTTTCTTCTATTTACAAACATGCGAAACGCGACGGCATTATTAATGAAAGAGTGGCAATGGGAAGTGCTACTATCAACAATCTCTTTTATCGACCAAGTGTTTAACAAATAACCAGTATTTGCTGATCTTGCATTAGTACGCAGTAACTAAATAATGTATTAACTGACCTTCTTTTGCATAATATAGCTAATTCTATAAAAAAACAATATTATTACTATTGAAATTCCGAAGAGTAAACGTATCATAAAACCTTGGATTACAACTGGTATTCTTAAGTGCATAAATAATAGAAATAAGTTACAAAAGAATTTAAGAAAAGACCCACACAATGAAATTTTAAAAATAACGTACTTAAGATATAGAAATTACTGCAATAATTTAATTAAAAAGCTGAAAAGAAGATATGAAAGAGAACAACTTGCTAAATCAGTTTCAAATAATAAGCTACTCTGGAAAAATATAAAAAATATAACAAACTCGAACCAATCGAAAAACCAAAACACAGAATTATTAAATACTAAACCCACCCCTACCGAAGCAGCAAATTTTGTTAATGAGTACTTTGTTAACATTGGTAAACAACTTGCTCAACAAATTAAAGATATTGCCTTGCATGACTCATATAACCTTTCTGACACACTGTCTGCACTGGGAAATTCCTTCATGCTCCCTGACACAGATCATGATGAAGTGGATAGAATCTTGATGGGCCTAAAATCTAATAGTGCACCAGGTTGGGATATGATTTCAACAAAGTAAGTATTTAAAATTTGTAAGATATGAAGTCGTTCCTATTAAAACTCACCTTGCCAACCTTTGTTTTAATAAGGGGATATTCCCTACCCTGTTAAAGCAATCTATTATTATTCCGGTACACAAGGGTGGAGATAGGACGGAAGTGAATAATTATAGGCCCATATCCATATTACCTAGCATATCAAAAATTTTGGAAAAGCTTATTAATAATCGTTTAGTAAATTTTTTTAAATAAATATAATATTTTGTCTCCTTCCCAATTTCGATTTATAACGGGTAAATCCACAGAAGATGCTGTAACTTCTCTAAGCTCGCTAATAATTGAAGAAATTGATAATAAAAATAAATGTTTAAAGGTGTTTCTTGATATCAAAAAAGCCTTTGACACCGTCTTTGTCCCTATCCTAGTAAATAAATTGGAAAAGGTTGGTATAAGGGGAGCACCATTAACTCTTTTTAAAAGCTACCTCTCTAATAGGAAGCAGAGAGTAAAGTTGGAACAGTACTTAAGTGAAGATGCAGAAATAACATACGGAGTTCCACAGGGAAGCGTTTTGAGCCCTACATTATTTCTTGTTTATATCAACGACCTTTGTAGCCTAAAAATAAATAACTCAAAAATCTTCTCCTATGCTGATGATACTGCAGTCGTCTTCTCTGGAAATTCCTGGAAAGCTGTGAAAAATAGTGCCGAAAATGGAATGGTTCAAATAGCTACTTGGATAAAATATAACTTGCTCTCGCTGAACACAAATAAACTAACTGAACATAAATAAATTAACTATATATGTTTCAGTATCTACAATAAAAATCAACCTGATGACAGATTTAGTATAAGGGTTCATGATTGTTGTAACACCCAGGATAGTAACTGCAACTGCCCGATTATTAATTAAGTTACCCATACAAAGTACCTGGGTGTCATGTTGGATCAGAGACTGTCCTGGTACCCACAGCTTGAGCAAGTTGCCGAAAGAGTCAGAAAGTTGATTTGGGTCTTTAGATCATTAAGGCATGTGGTTACAGGTAATAATAAAAAAATGGTGACCGGGAAACATCAAGAACAATTCTGAATGAGATATATATCGCCTTGGTTCAATCTGTCTTGGAATATTGCATTCCTGTTCGGGGAGGTGCGGCAAAAACTAAGTTTATATAGAGGTTGAGAGAGCACAACGTGCGCTTATTAAAGTTATGAACTTCAAAAATATTAGATACCCCACGGAAAGGCTTTACCTCGAGAGTGGGCTACTTTCGGTAAGGAAACTGTATATAAAACGGATTACACTCAATAAACACAAAAATATACCCTACGATGCAAGTAAAAAAGGAAAAAGAAGAAAAATAATGTGGCTTCAGTACCCCAAACTAAAACTAAGTTTGCTAGTACCCAATATAATAGTCGCTCGACTCAAATTTATAATAAAATCAATAAAGAACTTGATATTTATTCGAAACAATATATCGAATGTAAAAAGGTAGTACAAAATTGGTTAGAGTTACTTAATTATGAGAACACTGAGCTGCTTTTACATACAGTAAAATAGTACACACACATACCCACACACTCACATACAAACACATACACCGCGCCCGCACGCACACACACACACACACACGCACGCTTTCGCGTACATATAACAAATATCATAATCTGAGGAGAAAAAAAACTGTAAATACTCCCTTTTAATCTTTAAGTTTTTCTTTGTAATGTCATATTTCATAATGTAAATAATATAATATATAGATATTGATATGGAAGAGCGGATTCACCTGCTACAGGCATTATTTGCTTAAAAGGAGAATCTGGCCACTAATGTCTGTAAACCAATTCTATTTGCTGAAATAAATTTTATTATTATTATTGGGGTATCTATATAATTTTCTCACCTGGTTGGGTTCTATAAATATATAATTATAAATTAAAATGAAAAGATATTATTATTATTATTAACTAGTACTGGGAGATGTACTTACACTGAACGATTATTTAAGGTCAATTACATTATACGCAAAAAAACCGAAAATTGCGCAGCTGTGTTCGAGTTGCTAGTCTAATAACTAGGTACCTTATTATCTAGATATACACCCATAAATAATAATAATATCTTAACTTTCAGTATCCTTAGGAACAGTAAAGAATGAAAAGTCAACATTCCTATTGTTATTTAAGCACCCGTATACTATACAGTAACTTCTGGCTTCTTGAGTGGCCATACTTGAATAAAAACTCAAAAATAAATATCAAAGTGCCTAAAACTTATAAGAGAAAAATACTTTTTTGTCAACGTAGGGCGCGCGTCAGCTCAACCGCGCGGGTGACAACCTCACCGAATTAGTACCTTGTAGGGGACCGCGCATCGTGGGTATATTTTCATGCCTAAACTCAGATGAGGTAAAAAAGGTAGATATCGTACCTAGAATAAGAAACTAACCAATTTTATAACTTTGTGTAAGTCTGAGAAGTGCTGCCACCTTTTTTTTTAAATTGAGATAAAATAATATAGGCCATAAGTTCTGTCAAAACCGTATTATTTAAAATTTTTGAATACTGGCTAGATGAACTTCACCAATTTTAAAAATATATAAGGTTTGCGCTTGCCGAAAATAAAAAAGACATTAATTTTCATTATTTTCGAATATATAGTGGTCGAAGATGATGGAGTAGCGGTTATCGCGTTGCACCGCTGTGGTTACCCGCCAAAAGAGATTTGCAATATTCTACAAAAATTGAAAATAACCTTACGAGATAAGATTCAAGCTTCGAAGATCGTAAGAGGACCGACCGACCGTACAGTAGGGTTCCCTACTAGAAAAAGAAACGTGTATTTTCGGCTTTTTTGATCGATAGTAATATGTATATTAAATCTTGTAAGATGGTACGGAAGCTCGGAAGTCCGATTCGCACTTGGCAAATATTTGTTTATATTTAACCTTACCTCAGATATACTCATATTTTTTATATATAATTTACTATACTACTATATAAGCTACTGCTAAATAAAATAGTAGTAGCTTTGCTATGGTATTATAGTATATTTTGGATTAGATTTAATTTATTACAGAATAATACGAATACATAAATACATATACATAAACACTCACGCCTGTCACCCAGAGGGGTAGGCAGAGACTACAGACTTCCATTTGGCACGATCCTGACACACCTCTCTCGCCTCCTTCACATCCATACACCTCCGCATACATGCTCGTCGGTTAAGGGTACTCCTAATTTGATAATACGAACTATATAAAAACTAAGGAGCGCATCAACCTACCTCAGATATTGGGTTATGAATACAGATAAGTACCTACACATAGGATTTAGTTTAAAACCCTCTAACCCTCTTTAAAACTCCCTAAAACCCTCTTAG